TTCAGAGAGAAGAAGGGAGAGGGAAAGATAGAAACATCAATGATGAGAGTCATTGGTCGGCTGCCTCCTGCATGCCCCTGACTGGGGATCGAGCCCACAACCCGGGCATGTGCCCTGACTGGAAATCGAACCATGATCTCCTGTATCCTAGTCTGATGCTCAACTGCTGAGCCACACCGGCTGGGCTCCATGGGCATTCTTGCTGGAAGCCACCAGCAGCACCCTCCGAGAGAGGCTGAGTTTGCTCTTCTGCCTGCCTGTTCCGGCCTTTCCTTGCCTTGGGGTGGAGTGAGGTGTAGGAAGTGAGGAGGGGGCTGGAATCCACTGATGGTGGGCTAAGGAATTTGTCCTGGAGTCTGCACAGTGGGGCCTGGTGGAAAAAGGTCAGAAGAGAGACATGTAGATAAGATCCCTCCACCCCCACCGTGCCCGCCTGGTGGGAGTCTCATCTTTAGAGTTTCCTGAGTTCCAGATTGGATTCTGCCTTGTTCAGACAAGTCTTGGTGTTTGTCTCTGCCTCAGTTTTGCTGTCTGTAAAATGAATAATTATTGTAGTCAAATGTCTTATAAACCATGGTTGCCGTGAAAAGGAATGAGAGAATGATTGTAAAACTCATCGGTTTTTCCATGACTTTTGACTGAGTAATTCCATTGCTAGGGAGGTATTTCTCCCAAATGCCCACCAAACTTTATGCAGTAGTATTTATAATTGAACAATATCAAAACAGCCCAGGTGTTCCAGTAACCGGGAATCACGGACACCCCTGGAACTTGATCTGTCCAATTGAAGAGACATTTCATGGCCAGACAAAAGCCATAAGTGGCGGACAAGCAGGGTGTGACATTGTAGGTGTTTATAACATTTATGTCTCATGCATCCTCCTGTCTTCAGAACCTTGCAGAATGCTTTGCAAACAGTAAGTCTTCAATAAATATTTTTGAATTATTTCAACTATATAAAAATTGTACCCAGTCCCAGCCAGTTTGGCTCAGCGGTTAAAGCTGGCCTGAGGGGTCCTAAGTTGGATTATGACCAAGGGCATGTACCTTGGTTGCAGGCTCGATCCCCTGCTCAGGTTGGGGCACGTGCAGGAGGCAACCAATTGATGTGTCTCTCTCACATCCATGTTTCTCTCCCTCTCTTCCTCCCTTCTACTCTCTCTGAAAAGCAATGGAAGGATTAAAAAAAAATTGTACCCAAAGGAAACAGGCATGGGAGGAAATATTCCAGAATGTTAACCAGAGGTTACTTTTAGGTGATGAGTTTATGTGTGATTTTAATTTTTTCCCTTTATTTTTCAGGAAATTGAAAAAATTCAATAATGTGCATTTATTACTTTTATTTTTAAATGCCATAGCTTGAATATTAATGTTGGCTTATACAAACATAGATGTCTTTAAAAAAATTCAAACTGCAGAAAAGTATAAAAAAGAGTCGCCTCAAGTCCAACTACGCAGCAGTTACAGGCATTAATATGTGGCAGACGGCCTCCTGTGAGCTCGTTCTGCACATGTGCCTGTGTCGATGTGTGTGTGAGTTTTTACATAAGCAGGCTCACAGAATACAAGTGTCATATAACCCTTTTCCGTGTACTGTGCATGGACAGCTTCCTCGTCAATATGAACTGATCTGCACCATTTTAAATACTGCATAGTATTGGTTTCACGATGTGTTGAAAGTCAACTAAGCGTTGCTCTGTTGATGTCCATTTAAGTTGAACATTTTGCTCTGAGACTCAATGCTGATGCATCTTTATAACCAAAAAATTAAAAAAACCAAACATTCCTCGTGGTTTTGGGTTTGGGGATGAAAGTTTCAGTGACACAGCCCAGTCATGTTGTGGAAGGAGCAGATTGGAGTGCAAGCACAAGCAAGGCTCAGGGCTGGCTGTCTCAGGGAAGAGTATTTAGTTCAAGAATTAAAAAAAGAGACCTTTACATTGAAAAGAGCTCTTCTCACAGGGAGAGGTGTCCTCTTGGCATTTAGGGCGAGATACGGCTCCGTCTGGGGCTCTCACCAATGGCCTCGTTACCTTGGAGAGGCCTCAAGCTCCTGTGAGAGATCCTGTTAGAAAGGAGATGGGGAGCGGGGAATGAGTTTTTCCAGCTGCTCCCAAAGATCAAGAGCCAGGCGCAGGGGAAGGGCAGAGAGAGTGATGAGCTGAGTGAATTATTGGCTTGTCAACTTGGGGAGGGAGCCAGGCCTGGTAGAAGAAGCCTGGGCTCTGGGATCAGATGGCCACAGCTCAGATCGCTGCTCTGTCATTTACCAGCTGGTGACCTGGGGAAGACACCCCATTCTTCCCTCATCTATAAGATGGGCACAATAACTCTGTCCAGCCTGGTGTGAGGATGGGCGCCAAGCCCAGTTTCTGGAGTACGTGGAAACTAATAACGTGTTGTTCTTAGTGGATGCAATTCTAGAGCATCATCCAGTCCAAACGCACTTCTGAAACACGATTAGGAAAGAGAACTTTCTGTTATTCAAAGCAGCTTGGGTTTGGGTTGAGCACAGTTGGTAAGAGGTGAGACTGGGCTGCAGGTGACCATGGTGTGGTGACAGGTTGTTGCTGAGCACGTGGTGACTATGATAGTGGCTCTGAAGTTGGAGCTGTGCCCACAGGTTAGATGCGGAGGTGACATCTAGGTTTGGAGCGAGGCCCGAGTGAGGTCCTGCTGTGTGTGGCTCTGGGGAATGGAAAGCCTGACTCCTGGAGGGGCCTGTCTTTCTGAGGTGTGCTAGCTCCCCTGTGACGGGACTGGCCCGGCAGGGGCTGAGTGAGCTTCCTTAGGAGGCTGGCTGGGGAGGTGGGACCAGACAGCCTTTAAGGTGGGTTCTAGTCCAAGGTGCCCAGGGCATGGCTGGGGAGGGCTGAGGAGGAATTCATGGGCCTTGGAAGGGAAGAAGGGCCAGAGGCTGGGGTGATGTGAGGGTAGGAGCCACTGCTGCTGCAGGCAGGCCCTAGGACCAGACAGTGGGCTCCCTCCCTTCTTTAGCCCTGCCCTCCAGTCCTCCCCCTG